GGATAGTGCTTTTTCCAACCTAGGGTTTCGTATAATGCTAGGAGACCGGTTGAATCAACTCCCTCGGGGACTATCCAGAAAATATACGATAGGAGTGACCCGAAGACACCAAAAGGGGTGCTCTAAAGGGATTATCTCCCTCCTAGCTCAACAACTCAATACATGAAAATGGAAACCCAACTCATGTCATTCATGAAAACATCCATCGATTAAGTAAAATTATCAATCAAACATGGAGTTTGTCACATACATCAACATTAAACCCAAATCTAGACCTAGGGTTCTTAAACCTAAGAGAAGAGGATGAGTTTCTAGAGAGAGAAGAGAGGGATAACAAATTTGAGCTCAAGATCTTCTTCTTCTTCTAGGCTTAATTATTTATTATTTATTTAATTTATACGAGCAAGTTCAGTTATGTTAGTCATTTTCTTTTTACCCATTTTTTATTGGATTTTATCAAATATTTTTACTTTTCAGAATTAACTCACTTTCTTCGGGTTGAAACCACATTATTGGTGTGGAATTTTTGGTGAAGTCCGACTATATCTCTTGGCAGATTTTAATCTCTTCGGTTAGAGATTTTTAGCACCTTGTGGTGCCTTTGTAGCTGGTTTCTGTATAGAAAAATTTAGTATTGTGAAGTTATGATCGAGTATCTCCTCAACCTGTGATGGAAAGCAAGTCTCGTTAAATGATTTATTCAATTGTGACAAAGAATCTTCAAGGATGTGCAACTGACTCGGTCGGCTTCTCAGGTGATGGAACTATTCCATTTGACTTTCGTAATTCTATTACGGTATTATCGATGATCATATCAAATTACTTGTCTTTAGTGAGGCTATGTGATTGTACCTTACCCTTTAATGTATTGATTGTTACATATTGCAGGGTCTCTCAACTGATCAACATGGATCCTACATCGAGGAAGCATTCTCTTCCCAATGCATGAGCCACTTACATGGAAGTTTCTTTTTTCTCTCTTCCTGCCCCTCGTGTCAGTTTGGTGTCTTTTGGCTCCTTGGAGTTTTCTCATAGCTGCCCACCTTGTGGCATAACAGGCTCTTTCAATGGGAATCCGGTTGCATACGGATTACCGTTCTTTATTATTATATGTTTTGTATTTTGTTGTCCGACCATGCCTTGGGGCTTATTTTGGATAAAAAAACCCTTGTCTTCAAGATCCACCCAAGCCTCCCATTAAGCTCCAAGATCACTCTAGCACTCTCTCTCTCTCTCTCTAGAACTCTCTCTCTAGAACTCTCTTTGGTGTTTTTGGGCGAAACCCGAGAGAGGGAATCGAATTTCTCTCCAAAAACCCGCTCTCCCCTTTCCTTCAGCTCAACCTCCTTTAAATACCCAGATCGAGCTGAGTTCACGGCCGTGAACACCTAAACGCGTATGTGAACTCATTTTCTTAGCCAAAACGCACCGCTTCACTCTCTAGGGTTCACGGTTTGCACTCAAAGTTCACGGTCTTAGAGACTGTAAACTACCTAGTCGTTAGTAATTTCTGGAACCCTCCTAGACACCTCGCTGTTCACGGTTTGTGGTTCCAGTTCACAACCTTAGAGGTCGTGAACTTCCATGCCAGGTCGTGAAATGCAGCTGATTCCTTCTCTTTGCCCGGTCTTCGCTCCATTTCTTCCAACCTTCGACTCCGGGGTTGGTTTCACATGTTAGGATCTGACACACACGAAACCTAGCATAAACCAACCTTTTAGGAGTTCAAATGTCACAAACGTAAAGTGGAAACGAGGGTAAAAGGTGTACAATTAGGCCCGAAACTACATAGCTCATAATAAGATCAGAATAGCTAGCCCATAATACCTTTTTGGACTTTGCTACGGTGACTTGCAAGTCACCATGACTTGGACAAAACGGTTGACCTCTTCACTAATATGGTCTACCTATTTGGACAAAATGGTTGACATCTTTGCTAGGATGGTCGACCAGATGTACTATTTTCAATTTTGCTATGTTCAACAAACGACCGACCTCTTCCTCTAAAAGGTCGACCACTTTATAAGAAAACGGTCTACCACTTCCATCAAGTTGTATAGCTCTTTTACCAATCAGTCTACTACTTTCAATAAACGATCGACTTGATGAACCATTGCTAGTTATATAATCATAAATAATTAGTCCAATAATAATAGATATGCTTGTTAGTAAGAGATTTAAAATTAGCTCAAAGGGTGCAAGCATAGATGACAGGTTTCTCGAGTGATTGCTCTCCCGTAAATTTGGAAAATGTTATTCATATTTATTTCTTATATTTGACTTACTCTATAGAGACTCTCTATAGAGACTTTCATCTTTTCTTCAAATTCTAAGTTTTCTTGTTTTTTATCCTATCATTGTCTTGTGACTGGTTGCTTCAAGTGGTAGACCACTTGGTGGAATTGGTAGAGCATTTTCTTGAAAAGTGGCCAAAAAGAAACGTGGGAGGCGAGAAAACCTATGCGCCAGTACCCACCACTCCAACCCGTCATTTTAATTAGGTATGTACTTATTAATTATTAGGTTCAAATTTTGGTTTAGCCTAATCATTAAAAATAGAAAATATCAAGGCTCAAAAAAGCGCTAGTATATATATATAAAGTAAAAGCATGTTTATGTTCACTAACAATTCTCTTTGATTGGAACTAAGTTTATGGGATCTTATGATACTTTGATGAGATTCATTTTACATTTGTGACCCATTGGTGAAACTAAGAATTATATTTAGTTTAGTTGCCTTAAGCATAAAGGTTCCTAAAGGGCAACTATCAGGAAAAAGTAAAGGAAAACCATAGAATAAAAGAGATGATAGTTTTAAATATTTTGGGGGAAGAGAAATTGAATGGGTGGAGCAACATTGTAAACCCGATTTAGCAAGTGGTATGGTTTGATTGGAATACAATTGATTTATGCCGGTTTAATAAAATATGATGAAATATAAAAATCATTAACATCAAATGAATTTAATAATCATATATAAATACATATTCGAATACAATATACATTAATATATAAATGAAATATAACATTCCAAATAAAATACTAAATACTTATATCTAAATATAATATTTAAGGTTATTTGAATCCAATAAATAACATCAACATTTAACTTTCAAATTCATGAAGTAAATAAATAAAAAAATAATTTTCTAATTAAAATTTTCAAAATAATATTATTTTGTATAAAGGTCGCAAATCGGTCATATCGATGATATTCCAGCCAGTTTCATGACTGACACCAATTATTCTAGATTTAACCGGCCGACATTCCATCGGCTTGACAACCATGGGTGGAGGCGACACCCATCACAGCAATATCCATCAGCACAAACAACACTCAATTAGGTTAGTAAATTGAGATGAAATTTTGGACTTGAACTTTGATGATTTGGGCTATGTTAATTATTCAAGGAGACCAAAACTACTATGTGCACATGAAAATCCCACTGGTGCCATTTTTTTATATAGTCTAATTATAAATTGTTATGCCTAACTTAGCTTACATAATTATTGATTTTATAAAATAATAAATTGTCAAGAGAAAATTCGATATAGGTAATGGAAATTCAAATTGGAACAACTAATGCCAATGCCAGTATGTTGACATCTGCAGCAAAGCGCAGGATGTTTTCTACTTATAATTAAACAAAAGAATCAGAGCCTTGATATTCGTGACTATAGCATAATGATAAAAACATCGATTCAAGATAGAGCAATTATTGACTCAAATACGATTATCTCGATTATGGAGAGTAACACCAACGAAAGCCATAAGCCAGACTTGTATAGGTTAAATAACCTTTCACCTTGATCGAGTCAATACTTATGATAATTGTAACATCTCATAGGCGAATTCCACATTGATATAATACTGGGGAGATCTATGATTAATAAGTAATAAACCGACCTTAAACTGACAAGACTTGTTTTTGGGTGAAATGGAGGAAGAACTTCGAAATTAAACGTGCTCAATGTGGAGCACCACAAAGACAAGTTACCTTATGAGAAGACACATTGATATGCAAATCAAGGCAAAATCCGCGAGGGAATAACCCCAAAGCGGACAATATCTTGTCAGAAAAAGGTTTGAGATGTTACAGTTTTGGTCTACAACAGCCTTAATCGTGTTTGGTTGCTTCTGCTTGTGTTCTTAGCCAATTGTTGTTTTCTTTGATCTAGTCCCTTCCCCCACGAGTGTTTCAAATGGAAGGATCATGAATCGCAACCCACAATTCAAGGGTTTTTCTTGTAACTCACAAGCGGCAGAACGACGTTGGTGTCGCTAAACCTTTACTTTATTAATTGGATACAAAACTAATGTTGAACTTACATATTTATAGTCTTAGAAAAGCCTAATACTATTCGACTCGCTCTCCTATTCGGATACCCTAACCCCCTAACACACAAATCATATAAGGAAAAAGACACCCACAACCCACGACCCAAAAATTCTAAAAGCCCAATCATAAAATATCGTCATCAATCCTTCGCCCTCAAAGAACATTGTCCGCAAGTTTCTGATGTTGACGAATCCCACCTAGGATGACGACGATAACAGTTGTAGCTTTTGTAGCATCGAGACTTTGATAGCCTCCTGAACTTCCAGCTTGCAGCTCGAAAACCGTTCTTCTTCCTCGTATAGGTTGCTGCACGGACTAGGGCCGAATGGAAATAGAGACAATGAGTCATCATAATGACTATCATGATCATATTGGTCTCAAAGAAAAATCGACCTCACATGCTTATAATTTGGAAGGGCTATATATGGCTGCCTCAAAACCAAATTTCCATGGCCATCAAAATTAGAACGTCTCACCTTTGGATGGCATGTTATCAGTTGCTTGATGAGAGACCCGAAAGTGCTTCCTTGTCGAACAACAACTTTGCCTCTCATGGATAGAGTTTCAACTCCTACTTCCTTCACATAGCTTTCAGATCGAGGGATGATAGCCTCGTTTTTACACCATAAAACTTGTCTTGTACCACATTGGTGAGTTACAAGATAATCAAGAAATTTATAAGGCAACATTAATTATAACAATTAATGTTGTTTAAATTGGGCCTTATGGATATTGATTTTAAGCCCAAGTCACTAGCTCATTAATGAGCATGGACATGATTCAATAAGGGACATGGACCTCTCGTAGGAGGCCATGTTGTGCCACGAGATGGCACAAAAATATTCTAAGTCTGGAGAGGGACGTGATGCTTCAATGAGGAGGGACCATGTCCATCTAGAATTTAGAAGCACATGTCATCTCAAGGAAGACATCATGGAAACATGATTGTGGCCCCCTCCGGTGTACAATATATTCTAAGTCCGAAGAGGCATGTGCTGCTTCAACCAGAAGGGCTATGTCCATCTAGAATTTACAAGCACATGCCATCTCAAGGAAGGCCCCAGTATGGTCAAAAATATTTTAGGTCTCGAGAAGGACATGCCACTTCACGAAGCGGCCATGCCGCCTCACGACCAAGACCAAATGAGTGAAAAATAAACTAAGTCGGGAAGGAGTACAGGCCGCTTCAAGGAGAATCACGTGCCGCTTCAACTAGGAGGGCCATGTCCATCTAAAATCTATAAGCACACGTCATCTCTAAAAGGAGACAAAAATGACTAAGTCTGAGAGGTCTATGACGCTTCACGAGAACGGGCATGGACGCGAGACAAGATGAGACGTCCATGACGAGTCATGAGAAGGGTCATGGACGCGAGACAAGAGCCTTAGGCATAATTGAAAAATACTAAGTATGAGAGGGCCAATGTCGTGTCACGAGAAGGCCCGTGTCCGCCTAGAATCCAGAGGCACGTATCGTCTCAACAAGACATGGACATGAGAGGAGGAGTTTCCACCCCCTTAAGTCATGTGATCATGGCTCTTATGGTGTACAAAAATATTCTAAGTAAGAGAGAGACGTGCCACCTCAACAAGGAGGGACATGCCCGTCTAAAATCTAGAGGGACGTGTCGCTTGATGCGTGACAAGAGACCCTAGGTGTGGTTGAAAAATACCAATTATGAGAAGGTCGTGTCATGGGAAGGGCCACAGACATGATTGAGAAGTCCATGGTCACGAATGAAGAGGTCATGTTGCCTCATGATCAAGACCGACTGACCCAAAATATAATAAGTCTGGGAAGGACATGCCGCCTTACTAGAGGGGCCATGTCTATGATTGGGAGGTCCATGCCGCCTCACGAGAGGGACCCTGGACACGAATGAGAAGGCTGTGGTGGTGGAGCACTATATCACTAGTGACTAAGTCCCAAGAGGGTCATGAACATGAGTAAGAAGTCTATCACCATGAGGCAAGAGGACCACGACCCCTTTGAGAGACACCACATGCTCATAAAAAAACTAGCACGACATGAGATTTGGAACAAGACCAGATGAGGCAAGCTACACTCTAAGATCCACGACGGTTCTAAGAGAACACCTAGGAGGTTGAAGGAGTAACCACCACTCCGAGAAAGTAGGGAGCGGTTCTTTTTGGGAGTTATCCAAGAAGCGGTATTCTACGATAGTTACTCCCCATGGCTATAAATAAGAGGAAGGGTCGACAGAGATAGGAGGTTCCACAACCAACCATTTGACGTCTACGTCAAACTTTATCATTTTCTCTGCAATGTAGCCTTAGTCTTCGTTGGAGCTCTCACTGAACCTCCGTAGGCGTAGAAGTAATTGAATTTAGATCTTGTTCCCAAAAACTATCAATCAAACACCCTCGTTCGAACTTTGTTTGAAGAGGTGTGAGTCGTGTCTTAGTAATCGTTGTCCAAAGAAGTCAAAGTGCAATCAATTTCAATTCAACGCAATTTTTCTCACCGGAAAACACCTCACCTAGGTCTTGTTCACCCATGCGCATTGTTTCCTTTCCGACGATCTCATTGACGGGGTTCTTGATATCCTCTGCCACCCTGATTTCGTTGGCGTCGATGCAGGCTACATCGACATCGCTCTGCTTCCCACCAGTGATGGTTACATGGTTGTGGTTGGGTTCCAACCTTTTCAATGGATGCTCCCAATCACGACATAGCGCTGCGGTTTGATTGATGTCACCGCAAGCTTCCATAAGTTGCCTCGGCCTTCTTGCGAGTCTCCTTAGCGCTAGGGCGTGGATCCCGGTCAGGTCGAGGACCATGCCACCCATCTCAGTAGGATAAGCAACCAGGCTCTGATATCAATTGATGAATCGTAACCCACGATTCAAGTATGTTGCTTGTAACTCACAATCGAGAGAACGGCGTTGATGTCGATAAACCTTTACTTTATTAATTGGATACGGAAATAATATTGAACTTACATATTTATAGGCTTAGAAAAGCCTAATACTACCCGACTCCCTCTCCTATTCGACTACCCTAACTCCCAACACAAAAGGAAACAACTCACAAAAGAAAAAAGACTCCCACGACCCAAAATCCCCAAAACCCAATCCGAAAATATCCTCATCAAAGGAATACCATATATTTGATCTCTAACCTTTACTCTCTTTCAAAGGTTACATTGCATCTTCAAAATAAGCAATTCATGGAGCATGAAAGGACTGATACCTACAACTTAACCCCACCCACTTAGTCACTCTGACTATATCATCCAGCTTCCAGCAAATTAAAAAGATACAAAGAAAAAATGAACTCTCTTTCTTTGAAGATTTTGAATTGATATATAGTTCAATTATATGAATAAGAGGTTTGATAAGTTAACTGGAAATGTATAAAGAAACAAGAAGGAAGACTCACGTCATAGGCCCAACAACAAAGCTTGTAACCCACGAGGGCCTCAATGCAAAAACAAGAAACTAGTCAACTCTTGAATGAGCCTTACCATCATTCCTTTTATATACTATAGTCGGATTGTGGCCCTAAAATACCTTTGCATTGCATAACTTGCAATTTGGATAAGAAAAAGCAAGCAAACTCGAAATGATCCTAATTACATTTTTATTTTATGTGTATATGAAAAATTTATTTATTATAATTTGAGTTACCGAGAGATACTAATTCAAGAGATAACATAAATAGAGAGTTCGTCGCGTAGAATCTCAATGCAACCTCAAGAATTACGAATCATCCAACTCGTCAAAATGATTATTAAGAATTTTTCACTCTCTAACTAACGAAATACTGATATTATATGTGAATTACCTATCTTAAGTATTTCCTTTGGACCTTCCAAGGGAACAAACATAATTTATTTATCGTCACCAATAAAGTTATAATATATAATGCAATGAACAAATTTGAAATATAAAAATTTTGATGGTGCATTTTATGAACCATGTGCTCAGACAAAAATAGTGATGAATGATGATTGTTATAAAGATATATATTATTATTGGGATTTTCCCCCAAATTCCCTAAGGAAAAAAGTGGAGGTATGGGCATATATATTGTGCTTGACAGAATTGCAATATTATTATTACACTATAGTTGAAAGATGAGTTGTGTCTTTCAGTTTTTCTTTTTCAGAAAGCCAGCCAACTATATAATATACTGTGACCAAGCAGTTGGCTTACTTTTAATTATAAGAAATTGTAGGGCATAACATTAGATCGAGGAATATGAAAACCATATTATCAAGTAAAGAGAATTGGAGAATGATATATGGATTTGTCCCCTTACATAATCAGAACAGCTCCATGCTTTTTTATGGAAAGGATAAATAAGAAGAAAATTGTGAATTATGGATAGGGAAGCCATGTCTCGCGCTATCAGCTATCTTGATATCATTGTTCATTTTTTTTAATGGTAAATAGATTGAATTCATAGATAGATCGATAGATTCATGAATTTGAGTTAAATAAATTGGTGAATTCATGAATTGAATAATATGAATTGGCGGATTAAATTCATGTACCCAGGTGACATATAAACATTTGACTAATATGTAAAATTTGAAAAGTTCAGAAACAGAAAAGTCATAATAAAAATTATAGGTATCAAAACATAAAGTTTCAATAATAGTTTACTTGAATAATTAAAAATTAGGTTTCAATATTTAAAATATAAAAGCTAATAGATATTAAACTGTATTTTTCCAAATATCTAACCAATTCAATTGAATTTGGATTAAATTGATTGAATTTGAATGAATAAAAATTGCCACCTCTACTCGTCTTGTGCCAGATCGGGAGCGTGAAGGGGGCAGGTCGACCCATATTAGTATTTAATTAAGAAAATATTTGAAACATTAGTTTTTTATTAATAATTAAGAAACAATATGTGACATGATAAATGTAGTCCAAATATTCAAGAAATTAAGTTTTTTATCAACAACTTTATTATAGGTAAATATAATGTAATAAAAGTAAAATCTTAAGTAATTTGAATAAATTAAATATAATATATGTAAGTGGTTCGAAAATGGGGTAGGTCGAGTTGACGAGAGTATCTATGTCCGACACGTCCCAAAACAAGTCAGTTACAACGAATCAGGTCGAATTTGCAATCCGACCTTAACCATTATCTTTTCATTTAAAGAGCAAAAGAACTCAATAGTTAAGGGGTTGTTTATAAGTGGCGAATGTCAAATCGTTGTATCGTAATAAATTAATATAAATATATGCATTGGTAAAATCAATGTATTTTGACAATAAATTATTTAGTTGTTGAGATTCTAATTTATAGATTGATTTACATAAAATTACTTTATGTGTAAATGTTACTTTTACGCTCTACTTTCAATATAAAACAAAAACTACGAGGATGTAAATGAAAAGAAAAAGTGGACACAAATTTAAAACCAACAATCTCCAATTTTAATTAGAGAACTAGCGTGGGCCCGGCCAGTTGGCCGGAGGAATGTGAGTTATGAAATTTTAGAATGTAATGGAGTGTATAGCTTATTATTGTATAGTTTTTTTGGAAACACGTGATAAAGATAGTGAATTTTAGCAGTAAAGAGGCATGGATGATGCAACGAATCAAAAATCAGCCTTATGAACCAAGTTCGAGTACCTGTTACCTTGTGAAACAGTATTATTTCTGGTAATATGATGAGGTGGAGTAAGTTTGATAGAAACCGAATTACAGAAAACAGACTAAAAAATCGCCTATAAAATACACTATAATTTAATCATTAGGATATCAAATAATTACATAATATATATTTGAAATTATAAAAATTGGACTAATTTAGTTGGTCGAGATTGAACCATTTAATAACTTTAAAATACATTATATTTTAGCCACTAAGATATAAAATAATAGCATAATATATGTTATGCTAGAGAAAATAACGTGTTTTAAGATGGCAAACCCATGATGTTCATTTGGTTTACTTGATGGCCAAATCCCGTATGGGTCAAACCCATTCAGCTCTTTTATTCTATGGTTAGCGGTTAGCCCATTAGAATCCATGTATTAGTTTATTGTTAAATTTTTTTCTTTTTAGCAATAAAAAGGAGTATTGTTTTTGCCATTTCATATATATCTTACCAACACAAAGAAGTAAAAAGGCTTAAAGAAAACCCTATATCCCCCTAAAAAAGCTGCTTAGTGCTCATCGGCTTATGGTTCACTTCCCTCTCTCGATCTCAATTATATCGTAGTCGGTAGCCACTTCTCCCCACCCCTGTTTTCCAGCCGTTAATTTTAGCTCTGCAAACTTTTTCCCTACATGTCATCCTCCCCCACGAACCTCAATTTCAACTCCCCCCTCTCGGTCTCTGTTTTTAATTTCTTAATCTTCCCTTCTCTTATCACTTGTTTAAACTCCTCTTTGTATATCTCCGATGCTAGTTTAGCGAAGAAGAAGAGAAAGCCACCAATCTTCAATAGTACTGTATTGTTACAGTGAAGCGATATTGTGGATTTCTTTGTCACTTATCTATTAGAACTTTCGAATGATGGAAAAAAGGGTGGTTGATTACGATTTGATTAGATGCCTCAATCTTTAAATTTTACTTGCATGCAATTTATCACCCTTCTTCATTTGCATGACTGGATCATTTTAGTATGCTTGGATTTCTTTTCATAGGGAAGGGATTATGCTATTAGCACACGAAAAAAGGATTGTAGAAATTATTTTGTAAACAATTATGAAGCTCACTTTTTCTAATTATTTCATTTATTCCCGTCGTGGGTGGAGTCCAGATCCAGCATCGGAACAATCCAAGACTCGGTTATGGTGATCGCTATGGAGGCACAAAACATATGTGACCGTAGCTGAAACTTTTTTTTTTTGTGGGCTGCAACAATCCCTAGGCCCGTTCAAGTTTGCACGTGTACGGTAAGTTGGCCCGTTCCACAGTGAAAGAGAAAAATATTGAACTGATGTTAAGAGATCATACCCTCCTACAAACGCTCCGGGAGCAGGAAATTTGAAATTGGAGAAGGGTTTTTTCCTTCCTGCTATCCTCCATTAATATATAGTAGAGTTTTGTAAACTTTTCTCCATTTCAAATTTCCTCCAATGAGAGTGAAAGTAGGAAGGATATTTTTGTCTTTGCAATTAATTATTTATTTCATAAAAAATATCAATATCAAGACTCGAACCTGGGTCTCTTCAAACAAAGATAACAGTCATAACCAATTATACTAAGTGTATTTGTTGTTCCTTTTTTAATACAAAACATACATGTATTGAAACTGTGAAAAGCATAGAACTTTTTCGTCATGATTAACAAGGGCACTAAGTCTACCATATGTATTTTCATGGTGCTTAATACTTCAATTTTCATGGTAGAGTTTCATTTAATTTTATCAATTTTTAGAATTCATGCTCTCTCCTTAATGTTTCGCTAAAGGTATATTGGTAATTGGCTAACATGGAAGAAACTATTTCCTTTATTACGTGTTGTGTCCTTGCATTTTTCAATATAAATTTAAATTTTGTGCCTTTTTTATCTTTGTTCTTATCTCTTTCTAATTTTCTCCGAAATTCCCTCCATCGTGCAATAGTTTGTGTGCTTTCACTTCCCAGTGTAAGGAGCATTTGAAAATCAACATTCGGGTATCTCTTGGCACTTGGGAATTTAGGCTGGGCAAGTAGAAGATTTCAACTCTCATATCAATCCATGGCGAATATAATGGAGTTCAATCAAGTAGTTATGGACTGACCTTGATTATCTCGCTCGATTCCTTTGCATTGGCATCACCCAATGGTTCTGTCTCTCCTCGATGTACTACCAGAAGAACTATTTTGTTGCTTCTACTGCTGAAGGCAATGTTTGATCAGTTATACCTTTCGCCTTTACTCATCTTCCTATACCAGGCATTGACCATTAATAGGTTTTCGGTTTCCGGCCAAGGTTAATCGCTTTGCACATGTAAGTCA